GGGTTCACTCAGCCCACACACACCCCGGGTTCACTCAGCTCACACACACCCCGGGTTCACTCAACTCACACACACCCTGGGTTCACTCAGCTCACACACCCTGGGTTCACTCAGCCCACACACACCCCGGGTTCACTCAGCCCCACCTTCAACTGTCCCGACACCCACACAGCATTTTCTCCATCGTCAGCAATGAGACTGTCAAAAGCCAGTGCTGTTACACTGGCGGCACCAAGGCTGGCATGCAGCAGCGCTGTGCAGGTTGTTCTCTGCATCAGCATGCCTGGCTGAGCAGAAGCAGCATTGCATAGAGAAAAAGGGTCATGGAGGGTGGGTTCTGAAAATCTGCATAAAGGTTCTGAGTGATTACAGTAAGATGGATTTGTGATATCCCAATCCTGAACAGCTGGGTCTTAAAGAGGAAATCGCAATTTAAACGATGGGTGGCTTGTTCCTGACACTTTCTAATGTGGAGCCGACCCCTGCCACCCACGTCTGCCCACCAAGGGAAACATGAGGGTCACACTCACCCTAACTTCAGAGGACTGAGGTAAAGACGTCAAACTAAAAGGGTTCAAAGTAAAACTTCACTCATACAGGCATATGCCTCCTGCAGCCCTTACAAACTGAGGATTATTAAAACGGCGAGAAGCTGCACCAACGTTTACCAAGTATAACCTAGGGTCTCTGTCTTTAAGAAGATCTGGTTACCAGACAACCAAAAATGGAAAGAAAAAAAAAGAAAGCAGTGGCCCAATCAGATAGGTAATAACTGTAAAGAAGTAAAAACCTCGATTTTTCTTAACAAAAACAGCTTTCCAAAGCACGAGAACATAGGGACACACATGATGTGTCCACACCCCCCAGGCAAGGAACACCAGCAAGGTGTCTGAAGCAGCAGCCCCAGTGACTTCCGGTTTGTCAGAGGTCTGTGGGGAATCAGATCAGGGCGGGAATCCCTCCAGATGCCGACGTCTTGCGGAAATAGCAACTGCTGTGTGGGCTGTGACCGCTAACGTACAGCCCTGTGCAGCAAATGCTTCACAGCCTGGCTCGGAAGCATGCACAGCCTGCAGCTTACCTGGTGAGCAAGAAAATAAACAGAGATGGCAAGGGTGTCTGCCGGGGGTCAGGAGAGAGTGGGGCTTAGCAGGGGAGGCTTAACCAGCCAACCACAGACTGCCAGGAGCTAACCATCTGCTGACTTATCATTTTAAATGGTAGTATTAACTTTTTTCTTAGCCAATGTAGGAAGAGCCTTGGATGTTAGACTGGTTCGCATCTGAGGGCCTGAGGGTGAAACACTGCTCGGCCTAATGGGTCTCGACTGCGGGCACACTAGAGCCACGTGGGAAACTTTGAAAGCATGGCAGTGCAGTTCAGTGCAACAAGGGTGTGGGGCTTTGCGGCTTTTCTTTTAAAGCACCTTCTGGGTGATTCTGAAGTGTAGCGGGGTAAGCACCCTTGCGAGTCCAAAGTCACCCTGCTAGTAATAGCAGTGGGCTACCAGCACCCACATCCCTGAACTTATCCTTTGTGCCCCAATGTCCCTCCCGGATAGGCAAGCCTTTACTTCTATGCGCTTATCAGGGAAAACGGGAAAACGGGTTTTACGTAACCAAGAAATAACACTGTCTCCCACCTAATGCACAAAAATACCTATTAAATACACAGTAACAAATGAATGAAAAAGTATGAAACAGCCTGTCCAGGTGCTAGGGACGGTTCATCAATTCTACTTTTTAGCAATGATTTCAGAATCCACAGGAACTTTTGGGATTTACGAAATCTCCCCCACACCTAGCTCCTCCCCACTTGTTCTCCAGCCGAAAATAAACGCCAGACTGGTTTCAGTTACTGGAGTCCCCCCGTCACTTCCCGGTCTACTCACGAAAGTGGTTTCCAAAACGTGAATTTTGACATTTAAAATTTAAGGCTTTAATGGTTTCTAAATGAAAACATGGAGCTTTCTTGATTTGAAAAGGGGTCCCATGGTTAACAAACAAACAAACAAGGCAGGCAAGCAATCATGGAACGTGAATTACTGAAACAACGGTTTCTTCAATGCAGGACTTCTCAGAGCCTTCACGACAGTCCTTCATGCTGGGAGCTGTGGAGGTCCAATAATGAAGGGCTCAGGGGCTCGTGCCCAAGGCGCTCTGTCGGCTTCTGGACAGATTCGCGACCTGGGAAGTGCTCGGGGCAGCTCCCTACTCTCAGGCAAGCTCGCTGTGAGCCAAAATCAGCTCAACAGCAACTGGTTTCTCTTAACCAATAGAAGATTTACCCCCAAGCGCAGAATGCAGGATATAATTTGGTTAAGAAATTTCTTTTCTTATTCAATCCTCAGGAGTTATATCACTATAGCACCCACTTTGAGAAACACTGCACCAAGTATTACCTGACAAAGATCTCTATTTAAAAATCAAAAAACAAAAAATTCTGTTGAGTTGATTCTCACTCACGGGGTGTGCTGTAGGGTTGCAAAGGCCTTGCAATGGCCAATTTTTACAAAGGATCAACAGGCATTTCTTCCAAGGCGACTCTCACTGCCAATCTACCAGTCAGTAACCGAGTGCACGAACCGCATGCAAGAACTCGCTTAATTAAGTCAGATTTGCACCAAACCACACTCCCTGCTATTGAGTCATAGTGACTACAGGACAGGGTAGAATTGCCTCTGTGAAGGTTCTCAGACTAGAACTCTTTATGGAAGCCGACAGCTTCATCTTTCTCCCATGGAGCAACGGGTGGCTTCAAACTGCTGACCTTTTGGATTGCAGCCCAACGTCTAACCACTATGCCACCAGGGCTTCCTTCTATTGGCACAGGCAGACAGAATGAAGTGGAAATCCACAACTCATGAGAAATCAAACAGGACTTCGGGCAGACTTCCAAAGGTAAGGCTTCTAGGTGGCAATGCCAATTTTCCCTTTCCCCACCGGCCCTGGGAAGCAGGGAGTTTTAGGTTGGCGGAATCCCGGCTGTTACCTTCTGTGCAGTGTGTGTCGTGCCATCTGCAGCAGTGACTCGCACTTCTTCTCCTGAATAGTCAACACTCTGCACCTGCCCACGGAAGACAGTGGTGAGAGAGAAAACGAGGGTCTACCTTGAGCTTGTCTCTCTCAGGCTTCGGGGTGTCCTCCCTGAGTGCTCAGAGAGCCAAGCCACAGGGAGAACATCACTGAGGGGACTAGCACTGGGCTGCTAAGATGTACACACCCCACGACAGAATAGGAAAAACAATCTTCTTTGAATTATGAGGAGAGAATTGTCTTTACGATTGCAATGATGCACCACGCACAGGCATATGGACCGAGATGTGAAAGAAAACAAATAGTGGAAGTAACTGCAAGGAGCCACGGCGACTGTGGGCAATGTTTGTTTGTTTCATCGTAAAACCAAACCCAAACCAATCTCACGGCTATGGAGTCGAGGCCAACTCACAGCAACCCTTCAAGACAGGGTGGACCTGGCCCTGTGGACCTGCAAGACGGTCACTCCGTACAGGAGTAGAAGGACTCATCAGCATTTGAAGTCTACTTCCCACGACCCAGCTAGTTCATTTGGACTCAGGGAACCCCGAGATCAGGTTTCTGAGGCTGTGAATCTTTATGGAAGCGGACCGCCTCATCTTCCTCCTGAGGAGTGGCTGGTGGTTTTGAACTTCCCAACAAGTTACCTTTATTGTACGGTAATGTACTTGATCCTGTATCCTTCATGAAAACTCATCCGAGTTACTAGAGTCTCCAAGCAGCAGCAGCTGCCTTTTCAGGAGATACAGAAAATGCTCTGAGCACAAGCTGCATCTGTTCCCACTCGCACAGTCCCACTGGCCACAGAAGAGTGGACACCAGCGGGCCATGACAGCACACGCTCGCCTCCCCCAGAGCTGTGCGTCCTCCCCAAACAGGGCACTCACGGGAGCTTGGAGCCGAATGTCTAGGCCTTCAGCCAGTTTCTCGATGATGACGAAGTAGCCCAGATTCAGCAGGGTGTGGTCACCGGTAAACTGGGCGAAGAACTCATTGTGGTCCCAGGAACGAGCAGACACCTGGGAACAAGAGGAGAGGCTGGGAAGCCAGCAGGCACGTGGTTTTGAGTCTGTGCCCCAGGGTCACTACCAGGGCTCGAGCTGAGGAAAGGCGCTCAGGGCAGAAGGGCAGGGCTGCCTGGCACAAGGCACAGCCTTAAGCAAGGAGACAGAGATCAGGCCAAGCAAGGAGACAGAGATCAGGCCGAGCCAGGCACCCCAGTCAAGGCCAAGGGGAAGGAGATGCCTCAAGAGCACACACGGAAGATTATTTCCGAGCAATGACATGAGTCAATGTCAATGCATGGCGACCCCGTGCGCCACAGAATAGAACTGCGCTCCAGTGGGTCTCCAATGACTGGTTCTTCAAAAACAGACTGCCAGGCCTGTCTCCCGAGATGCCTCTGGATGGAATCGAATCTCCAACCTTTTGAGCACAGTCACGACCTCCCAGACTCCAACTGTGGAACAAAAGGTATCCCAGCAAGTCGGCAGATTACACGCGTGACAAC